GGTGGAGGTTGCAGTGAGCCGAGATTGCACCATTGCACATTGCACTCCAGCCTGGGTGACAGGGCAAGACTCTGTTTCAAAAAAAAAAAAAATTAGCTGGACTTGGTGGTGGGCACCTGTAATCCCAGCTACTCAGGAGGCTGAGGCAGGAGAATTGCTTGAACCCCAGGAGGCGGAGGTTGCAGTGAGGTGAGATCGCACCATTGCATTCCAGCCTATGCAACAAGAGCAAAACTCTATCTCAAAAATAAATAAATAAATAAATAAATAATTAAATTTTAAAAAATGCAGGCATACATAACTTTATCATATTGGTGATTCCAATACCAAGAGTAACAGCATTTTCCAAAATGGTGACAAACTCTTGGTAAAGTTCAAAACAATCTTCCCTCATGGTAGTTTCCTAAAATATTCACTATGGTTTAAAGCTGTGCAATACTTTGTGCTTTTATGTAAAATAGAGTTAGATTCTAAGTTCATTTAATCTATACAGTTGATTCAGCTACATAAACATTTAATGACATTCAAAAGTCAAAAAAGACAAGGGACAATCCTTCTTTATGTGAGATTATTCCATATACTGCAGGACATGGCCCTCCACTCACCAAATGCTAGCCACAACCCTCAATCACTGTGACAACCAAAAACAGTCCTTGATGAGATACAATGATCTAAAGGACCTTACTCCAAGGAATGGGGATAAAAAGTATTTTTCCCCCTCTCCCCAGCTCCTTCAAATACAGTTCCCTAAGAACCAAGACCCAGAACTTCATACAGTAAGTTTATGTGGCTTTTGCAGGCTAATGTAGGGAACTATTCAACATTACGTCACTATTTCTACTGGACTACACACTCCAAATTTCAAACTTAGAAATAACTGTTGGGAACACAGTAACACAGTACTTCTGTCAAGTCTGACTTAAATACATTGATTGCCATCAATGCCTCCACAATTTTTTAAAACAATAGGCTGGAATCCAAGCTACATATAACCAATGTACTCTAAAGACCAAGCATACATGTAAAAAGACTGCTGTGTAGGCAAATGAAACAACAGTCAATTCAACAAATATTTTATAAGATATCTAGGCCTAGCCAGGTGTGGTGGCTGTAATCTCACGCCTGTAATCCCAACACTTTGGGAGGCTCAGGTAGGTGGATTACTTGAGGCCAGGAGTTTGAGACGAGCCTGGCCAATATGGTGAAACCCCATCTCTACTAAAAATACAAAAAAATTAGCTGGGCACAGTGGCATGTGCCTGTAATCCCAGGTACTTAGAAGGCTGAGGCATGAAAATCGCTTGAACCTAGGAGGCAGAGGTGGCAGTGAGCCGAGATCGCATATATATATATATGCCTTATTTTTGTGACAAATAGATACTAACTACATACCCTTTACCTAAATTACTAAGATGTATTATTATTTTACACTTTAGTTTTCTGCTTTACTGTAGATACTGATTGATACTACTGCTTATAGATACTGGGAAATGTTCTTTTCCAGTATTTATCTGTATTCAGCACCAGTACTTTAATGTGTGTTCACAACCAGTAGCAAATACTTGCCCTCACCACACAGAGTTAAAAGGTCCCTTAAAGATATGGATGAGGCGCGGTGGCAAGCTGTATCCACACTTGAGGCCGAGCGGATCAAGTCAGAGATCGAGACATCTGGCTACACGGTGAAACCCTCTACTAAAATACAAAAAAATAGCGGTGTGGCGGCGCTGTAGTCCAGCTATCGAGGCTGAGCAGGAAATGCGTGACCCGGGAGGCGGAGCTTGCAGTGAGCCGAGATCGCGCCACTGCACTCCAGTCTGGGCGACAGAGCTAGACTCCGTCTCAAAAAAAAAAAAAAAAAAAAAAAAAAAAAGATATGGGATGAACTGGATTTCCTTGTCCTCCCCTCCCTACAACCGCCATTACTCCCCAAGTCTAAGGTTCTCCGAGTTCTGAATTTCAACCATGCATTCTCACTACATATATCTTCTCCCACTTCACCCACTCAACGCATCCTCAAACTCTCCCATTTCAAAGCAGCCAAGACACACAATCCCTGCTATTTTAGAGGACACACTACAGTGGGTATAGAGAACTCAGCTTTCTTTTCAGTAATCAATGCCATACTCAGATTATTCAACCAGGTTCTGCATTAGGTAAGGGTACCTAAATAACCTCTAATATTTTTTCACCCTAATAAAGTATGTTATCTTCTTAGACTTCGTATAAGTAAATCCTCTAAAGGACCAACCCAGTATATATATTTCAGCTATTTCAGCTATGCTGAGGTCAAAGTTTCCTCCTTGAGGTATGCCTTGCCATGGAAAAAAAAAAAAAAGATAAATAGGAACAACTTTGGTTCCTTCTCTGCACAAGCATCAGTGCAAAAGCATTAATCTCAACCTCTCTGTACTGAAAGACTAAGAAATGTAATTTCCAAATATTTAAATGTCTAAAGAATTAGACATCTGGAAAAGTCTGGCATAACCTTGAAGATGATGGAAAAAAAAAAAAGCATTATCTCCAAAAAGTAACAGTTATCTCTCTTAAGCTACTCTAATAAGATAAATAGTAATGGTTATTGTTTATGGAATACTTTTCTGGGACCAAGGAGATCTATACATTTCTAATTCCCAAAACATTATGCATTATTATGCCCATTTTACAGATGAAGAAACTGAAACTTGGAGAAGCTAAAAAAACTTGCTGAATGTCTAGCTTAGAAGTAGCAGAATCAAAATTCACAGCCACCTTTTGGAATCCAAAGCCTGGTTCTTTCTGCTATATTGACATGCTTCTCAATTTTTCAAAGCAGGTAATTTTCATTACTGTAAACCATATATTATGCTGTTGTATGTCAAATACATACTACAGTACTGCTTTGAAAATTTTATTGCTTTTAAATACTTTTTTTTTTTTCCCAGACAGGGTCTCACTCTGTCACCCAGGCTGGAGTGCAGTGGCATGATCTTAGCACACTGCAGCCTCAGCCTCCCAGGCTCAAGTGATCTGATCCTCCTGCCTCAGCCTCCCAAGTAGCTGGGACTACAGGTGCAAACCACCAGGCCTGGCTATTTAAATTTCCATTTCTTTAATAAAGATAAAATGTTATGCTAATGGGGCAAGATTACAAAGCAAGTATGAAACTATTTCATTAATATCTAGGGTAGCCTAGGCCCGGCATGGTGGCTCATGCCTGTAATTCCAGCACTTTGGGAGGCTGAGGTGGGCGGATCACTTGAGGTCAGGAGTTCGAGACCAGCCTGGCCAACATGGTGAAACCCTGTCTCTACTAAAAATACAAAAATTAGCCAGGCCTGGTGGTGGGCACCTATAGTCTCAGCTACTCAGGAGGCTGAGGCAGGAGGATCACAGGAGCCCAGGAGGTGGGGGTTGCTGTGAGGCAAGATCATAGCACTGCACTCCAACCTGGGCAACAGAGCCAGACCCTGTCTCCAAAAAAACAAATAAACAAAATCCAGGGTAGCCTAAATATCAAATATTTAACAAAAACCCAAATGCCTGGAGAACAGGCCCTCCTTTCTCTTAATCTATGTGATTGTCATTTTGACAGAGGGCTGAGCATTACATCCAATCCAAGTAAGAAATGTTATAGTTAATGGTGAGAAATAACCCTAATTATTTTCATTGTACCTTTGTAATGTGAACATTACTCCAAAAAAGATCTTACGTTTTCAAGGTTCTGATATCTGCTTGTGACTAAAATTTTAAATACCTCAGAATCTAAAAACTGAACTGACAGCAAAAATAAAATACCTACCTGGTTTACCACAGACAAAGTGAAAAAAAAAAAAAAAGAAAGAAAATTAAAAATACATTCACCAGAATGGGTACAATGAAAAATGCAAAGCACTGGGAAGGATATAAAATAATCAGATCCCTCACACACTTCTGGTGGAAATGTAAATTGGTATAGCCACTTTCGAAAATGGTTTAGTGTATTCATTAAAGCTGAACATATACATATTCTACAACCTAAAAATTCTACCCTACATGTATTTCCAACAGAAATGTGTACATTTGTTTAAAGGACATGTACTAGAATGTTTCTAGCAGCACTGTTCATAACAGCACTAAACTGGTAAACTATCCAGAATTCCATCAACAGTAAAATGTACAAGTAAACTGAGGTATTATCACACAATGAAATGCTATACAGCAATGAAAAATAGAGTCTACAACTTGATGCAAAATATGGATTAATCTCACAAATGTTGCACTAAAGAAGTCAGACATAAAAGTATAAATATAATTCCACATAAAATACAAAATTGACAAAACTAATCTATGCTGTTAGAAACCTGGACACTGGTTACCCTTCGGTGGAGGTAATGACTGGAAGGAGACACAGGGCAGGGTGGGAGGCTTCTCAGATGCTAGTAATATTGTTTCTTCAGGTGGCTGCTAGTGACATGAGCATCGTCAGTTTGAAACACTCAATACATGAGAGGCATTACGGCAGCAGAGTGGTTGAAGAGCACAGCTCTGGAATTGGAATGCCTGCATTTGAATCTCTCTATCACTTACTAGTTACAACTTTGGGTAGGTTATTTAACTTTTCTGTGCTTCCTTTCTTCATCTATAAAATATGCCTAATATGTACCTCACAGGCTATTACGAGGACTAAATTGTCTTAAGATTTGTAAAGTGCTTATTAGCCCAGTGGGTTATTATTAAATACTTGCTAAGTAAATAAAAGTGCTTTATTCTGAAGCAACACAAGAAAATGAGAAAGGGAAACAGAAACACAGGATTTAACTATTACTAGAAAATGCATGAAATTATTATTTTGGAAAAGAGCGTGATAATAACTACAGTCTAATGTAAAAATAACATGACCTGGAAGCTGTGACTAGTCCGACAAGTTTCCACCTAAGTGGACCTTGGAAAAGTAACAGCCTCTCTGAGCCTGGAATTCCTCACTGTCAACCGGAGCCTGGCCCTGATGATCTCTAAGATCTTTGCGGCTCCTCAGTGCTCATCAAGGTGATGAACGGAGGCAGTCATCATGAACTAAGAGGGCTAAATTTGCAGTCAGGCTCTCTTATTCTCCAAAAGAAATGCTGAAATCTTCTATACCTCTGAATTTCGTCTAACATGTTTTTAAAATATCTATCATGTCTATCAGCCGTGTCTCTATCACTGAGGTTCACATTTCCTGCCGTCATTTAAATAAATAATTAAGGCTCCTGATGGGTTTTTTAAAAGAGCCGGCTGGGTTTCTGTCATCCATGCCATCACAGTGGCCCGAACTTCTTTGGCTTCGTTATATAACGACTCTTTATTAAACATCTATTTATATGTCAGGCACTATAATAAAAACTTTATCCCAAATGTGCCAAAAAAAATTGGATATGTATTATTCTTCCTCCTTCTTATCTTTTACAGATAAGAAAACTAAGGCTCAGGGCCGGGCGCCGTGTCTCACGCCTGTAATCCCAGCACTTTGGGAGGCCAAGGCAGGCGGATCACAAGGTCAAGAGATCAAGGCCATCCCAGCCAACATGATGAAACCCCCTCTTGGTGTTGGCAGCCGCTGCCGCGCCGCCCTCGCTCTCCAACGCCAGCGCCGCCTCTCCTCGTGGAGCTCCAGCCGAAGGAGAAGAGGGGGTAAGTAAGGAGGTCTCTGCACCATGGCTCCTACAAAGCAGACTGCCCGCAAATCGACCGGTGGTAAAGCACCCAGGAAGCAACCGGCTACAAAAGCCACTCGCAAGAGTGCGCCCTCTACTGGAGGGGTGAAGAAACCTCATGGTTACAGGCCTGGTACTGTGGGGCTCCGTGAAATTAGACGTTATCAGAAGTCCACTGAACTTCTGATTCGCAAACTTCCCTTCCAGCGTCTGGTGCGAGAAATTGTTCAGGACTTTAAAACAGATCTGCGCTTCCAGAGCACAGCTATCGGTGCTTTGCAGGAGGCAAGTGAGGCCTATCTGGTTGGCCTTTTTGAAGACACCAACCTGTGTGCTATCCATGCCAAACATGTAACAATTATGCCAAAAGACATCCAGCTAGCACACTGCATACATGGAGAACGTGTTTAAGAATCCACTATGATGGGAAACATTTCATTCTCAAAAAAAAAAAAAATTCTCTTCTTCCTGTTATTGGTAGTTCTGAACGTTAGATTTTTTTTTTCCATGGGGTCAAATGGTACCTAAGTATATGATTGCGAGTGGAAAAATAGGGGACAGAAATCAGGTATTGGCAGGTTTTCCATTTTCATTTGTGTGTGAATTTTTAATATAAACGTAGAGGCGTAAAGCATTAATGCAAGTTAAATGTTTCAGTGAACAAGTTTCAGCGGTTCAACTTTATAATAATTATAAATAAACCTGTTAAATTTTTCTGGACAATGCCAGCATTTGGATTTTTTTAAAACAAGTAAATTTCTTATTGATGGCAACTAAATGGTGTTTGTAGCATTTTTATCATACGGTAGATTCCATCCATTCACTATACTTTTCTGAGTTGTCCTACATGCAAGTACATGCTTTTAATGTTGTCTGTCTTCTGTGCTGTTCCCATAAGTTTGCTATTAAAATACATTAAACTATTTTAAAAAAAAAAGAAAGAAACCCCGTCTCTACTAAAAATACAAAAATTAGCTGGGCATGGTGGTATGCACCTGTAGTCCCAGCTACTCGGGAGGCTGAGGCAGGAAAACCACTTGAACTCGGGGGGCAGAGGTTGCAATGAGCCAAGACTACACCACTGCAAAAGGCTGCCCTGCTGATTAGTGGCAGGACTGGAAGGTGAATCTGGCATGTTTGGCTTCAGAGTCCATGCTCCTTCCATTAACGATAGACGCTTGACTTTCTTTACAATCTATCATATTTCTTCTTACTTGTATAATGAAAGATCATTAGCTTAGGTAATCTAAAACAAGAAAAACCTAATTTAGTGAAAAATCAATTTTGAATATTTTTTAAATGATTACTTTGTGTTTCTAAGAAAAGGTTTCTTCTAAGGTCTATTTAAATGAATGCTGGGCATTAAAGCTATTTCCATTGAGCAGCAGTCATGCAAACCATGAGTTAAAGCCTTTAAAAGACATTTATATTTCTTCCCTGCTGCATCCCCAGTGCCCAGATTAGTGCCTGGCCTAGGGTAGCCATTTAAGAAAAACATATTGAATACCATTCTCTTCAAATCTTGTTTACCAAAATACTCTACTACTAAGGAAGGTGCATTCCAACAAGATACTTTATCATCTGAAAAACTTCATGCCCCAAATCAGCATAATATGACTAACTGGTATATCCTCTCTGCTGTGGGCCATTCTCCTCTAAGTCAAATGGCACTGTCATCACCATCAACAAGTAACTACCAAACACCTACAGTATTTATTTAATACAGCATATTTTTATTTAACTTGGTATGCCTTCCCTTCTCTCTCTTTCCCCATCACGCTTGGGAAGCCACAGAGTCATAGTTCCTCCCCAGGCAGGCCAGCCTGTATGTGGTAAAGACTACACAGAGACACAAATGTCACATGTGATTAGGCAGCTTTTCCAAGCTAAACAAACACAAAAGCCCCAAGAGTTTGGCCTTTCCCCCAACAAAACTCATAACTTACCACCTCTTCCTGCAGCCCTGAAATTGCAACTGTAACGTGACCTCTTCCTCAGTCCCCTGCCCAATGCTGAGAAAATCAGAAATTTTCCCCAATGTCTGTGATACTTATTCCTACTTCATCTATTATTTTAAAAAGGCACTGTGTTCACCAAGGAATGTGTAAGAATATACTGCTAAAATTTTTCTTTACAAACTGTATGTTCAGGCTGGGCACAGTGGCTCACCCCTGTAATCCCAGCACTTTGGGAGGCCGAGGCAGGACCTCTTGAGGCCAGGAGTTCAAGACCAACATGGGCAACACAGCAACTTGGTCTCTACAGAAAATTTTAAAAATTAGCCAGGGGCATGGTGGTGCATAGTCTCAGCTACTCAGGAGGCTGAGGCAGGAGGATCATTTGAGCCTGGGAGGTCAAGGCTTCAGTGAGCCATGATCGTGTCACTGCACTCCAGCCTAGGCACAAAGCAAGATTCCATCTCTAAAAAACAAAAACAAGGCCGGGCGCGGTGGCTCAAGCTTGTAATCCCAGCACTTTGGGAGGCCAAGATGGGCGGATCACAAGGTCAGGAGATCGAGACCATCCTGGCTAACATGGTGAAACCCCGTCTCTACTAAAAATACAAAAAACTAGCCAGGCGAGGTGGCGGGCGCCTGTAGTCCCAGCTACTCGGGAGGCTGAGGCAGGAGAAAGGCGTAAACCCGGGAAGCGGAGATTGCAGTGAGCTGAGATCCAGCCACTGCACTCCAGCCTGGGCGACAGAGCGAGACTCTGTCTCAAAAAAAAAAAAAAAAAAAAAAAAAAAAAAAAAAACAAGGCTGAGCGCGGTGGCTCACGCCTGTAATCCCAGCACTTTGGGAGGCAGAGGCAGGCAGATCACGAGGTCAGGAGATGGAAACCATTCTGGCCAACATGGTAAAACTCCATCTCTACTAAAATACAAAAAAAAAAAAAATTAGCTGGGCATCATGGCACACGCCTGTAGTCCCAGCTACTCAGGAGGCTGAGGCAGGGGAATCTCTTGAACCCGGTAGGTGGAGGTTGCAGTGAGATGAATTCGCACCACTGCACTCCAGCCTGGCGACAGAGTGAGACTACATCTCAAACAAAACAAAACAAAACAAAACTCTATGTTCATAGGAGTGCACAGAATATCTGTGCACTACAGAGAAAAGTGTACCAGAATTAGGTTCTGTTCCATTACCTTACCTTCCTATGCAACTTGGGCAAGTCACTTAACTTCTCTAGGCTTTGGTTTCCTCAGCCATAAAATGAAGTATGGAACTAGATCAGGGATTATTCATCTAGTTCCAGGATGCCTTGAGGGATTCAGGCATGTGCTTCAGAAGTTTATAACTGCTCCTTCCTCTCAAACTTATATAAAAATCACCTGTTTGCATATATGAATTTTTCCAGAGACAAGATCTATAGCTTATATCAAATTGTCACACAAATTGTGATCCAAAAAATAACCATACCTGTTTTATTGAGCACATACTGTATGTTAGGCACTGGGTTAAGTCCTTACATATATTAATTCATGTACTACAATAACCTATTTTAATTTTTAATTTTGTGGGTACACAGTAGTGTATATATTTACGGGGTACAGGAGATGTTTTGATGCAGGCATGCGATGTGAAATAATCACATCATGGAGAACGAGGTATCCATCCTCTCAAGCATTTACCCTTTGAGTTACAAACAATCCAATTACACATTTTATCTTAAAACATACTAATTTTTTTTTGAGACACAGTCTTGCTCTGTCACCTAGGCTAGAGTGCTGTGGCACAAGGCTCACTGCAACCTCCACCTCCTGGACTCAAGCGATCCTCCTGCCTCAGCCTCCCAAGTAGCTGGGATTACAGACGTGCACCACCATGACAGACTAATTTTTGTATTTTAGTGGAGACAGGGTTTCACCATGTTGGCTGGGCTGGACAAATAGTAGGTCTTATTATTCTTTCTTTTTTTTTTTTTTTTTTGTACCCTTGAAGTAGATACTGTTCTTATTCCCGTTTTAGAGAAAGTAAATCAGAAAGAACCCAGGCTCTTAAACAACAATGCTATGATAAGTGAGATCATCTCTAAGCTCTAAAATTCTGTGTCCTTTCAAATTATACAATTCCCTATTCCATTCTGCGATCTTTGGTCATGCCCCAAATACTACTATATCTTTACACAAAACAACCAGACTCATGGAACATCTAGATTACTATTACCTGAAAAAGAATATATTACGTTAATCTGAGTAAAAGGTCCAAAGGCACTTTCCAGCACCAGCCTCCAATGTGCAATTTTTCTTTTACTACGTTGTGATTAACCAAAAGATGGATCTGAGTCTAATTACTAATTAAAGTCTCAGATCAAAGTAACAGTAAATAAGCTAGAGTGTCAGCCAGGAAAAGGGGATGCAGTGGCAGGAATAGCATCTCACATACCGCTTACCAAAGCAATGAGAAGACACAGAAAGAAACATCAGTGCAAGCCTGGGTGTCCCATGTTGACCGACATCTCCCCTCACCCCTACCTCCTGAAAACCACTGACCACTGTGCCTCCAAGCCCTGGATCACTCTCCATTTGAGATACAAAGGCTGATTAAGGTATTAACCATCACCAACTCCAGCATGGAATAAGGAGTGAAAACTAAGTAAAACCTAGCTTCCAATTTTTGTGGCCACTGGTTCTGACAACCAGCCACCGGAACACGGGGTTCAGCAGTCACTCGGCTACATCTGAAAACTGTTTTGCCGGCCAGCCTCCTCATGCCAAATTACTCAGAGACATAACATTGCTTAATAAAAGGCTGCAAAGCTGAAGCGGACGTTGTTGGTTCTTTTCACAGGCTGTCAAAAAACCTCCACATCTTAAAGGGAAGGTTGCGGAAACTTTATCCCCAACTCTCATGACCTTTCTCCAATTAGGCTGTGTAATGAAAAGAAAAGCAAAAGAGGGAGAAAGAAGTCCAGAGGAACGGCCCTGGGTGCTGGGCTTTTCCAAAGGTGATGCAACAGGGTCAGACAGAAGAGGAGGAGGTGGTGGGAGCTCCTGGGAAAGAAAAAACCAGTCTTGGTGTTGGAAATCTAAGGGGAAACGGCTTAGCAGGACTGGTGGCAGCGTTATTTAGGACGGGCAGGGGCACAGGATCTGGGAGAGGAGGGCGGTCAGAGGCCTGGAGGAAGGGGCACGGGCCCAAAGGCAGGAGGAAGCAGAGAGAAGACAGCTGGTTCGGGCAGGTAAGGGTGGGCTTCGTGGGGGCCTCGGAAAGACGGTCAGGGGAACACAGGATGACCTGCTCGGAGGTGTGGGAGGTGGGGACAGCAGGCCAGGAAAGCCCTTGAGGTGAGAGAAAAAGTCCAGGGGGCTGTTAGGGTGGGAAGAGACTAGCGGCACCCGCGCCAGGGCAGGAGGGCCCAGCGCAGGGGAAACACAGAGCGGCGACAACGGTGGGTGCCGGCGGGCGCGGGGTGCAAGCTGTCCGGGCTCGAGTTAGGCAGGGCTGCCACGGAGTCCCGGCTCCGGGCTGGAGAGAGGGAGACTGGGCCCGGAGCGCGGCGTCAGGGAGGAGGTCGGAGAGGGTTAGGAAGGGCCCGGGACCGCCGGGGACCGACGCTGGCGCTCTCACCGGGACAGGTGTTTCAGGATCTGCTTCTTAATGATCCCGGCCATGCCGGAGCCGCGGCCCGCGTGGAAGGCGGGTGGGCGGGCAGCTGTGGCCTCCTCAGTAGTGGAGAAGAGGCGGCCCCCTCACCTCGCAGCGGCGTGAGCACCGGACACAGCCGCCGCAGACGCCATGGCGCTTTCTCGCCCCTGTTTGGGCGCCTGGCGCTCCGCCACGATCCCACCCACCTGCGCGGCGCCGCGGCCGCCGGCCCAGAACGACGCGAAGATCGCGCGCCACCCGCCGGCCTTGCTTGCGGCGGCCAGAGGCGCTCGCGGTGAGGGGCGGTGGCGCGCGCAGCGCGGGGGCGGGCTGGCTGGAGCCTCCTCCCTCCGCGCTCCCATCTGCCTCTCCGGTCTGAAAAGCTTCTTTCTCCTCTGAGGGGTGTGCGGTTCCTTTCGCACCCGGCAGTCGCCTTGAAGCCTAGGAGAAAGGCGGGGTAGTTGTAATTTTTGCAGAAATTCGTTAGGTCATTGCGCAGCTCCCGGATGCCAGCGTCCGCCTCTCCTTTATTTCCCTCACACATTCACTCAGTATTTGTTGAGCACCAGCTGTACTCCAGGAATCAGGCTGGGGACTAAAAAGTAGTATGAAGGACCTCCCAGACCCGTAGATGGGAGACGCGAACCAACCGCTGCGGTCAGCCGCGAAGGGCTTTGTGCTGCAGAGCTGGGAAGGGGGCGCCGTCACCCTCTTGGTGCCTCCCTTAGCCTCGGCTCCTGAACCGATGGGTAAAATATATTCACTCAAGACCTGAGCGGCGCACTGCAGAAGCACTCCCTCCCAAATATGGGGTCAGAAGAAAATGAGACAGTCAGTTGTTAAAACGACCTAGGACTTTAGAGATGAGCATCTTCACTGTGCAAATAACGGAAACGGAAGCCCTGGGAAATAAGAGCTTTCCCAAGGTCACCTACTTAGGGCCACCCAGGACTAGAACCCAAGTATTCTGACTCCCAGTCAAGTGTTACGTCCACTCTATTTCATCCATACGCTTAAAAGTGTAACCCATGGCCGGGCGCCGTGGCTCACGCCTGTAATCCCAGCACTTTGGGAGGCCGAGGCGGACGGATCACGAGGTCAGGAGATGGAGACCATCCTGGCTAACACGGTGAAACCCCGTCTCTACTAAAAATACAAAAAAATTAGCCGGGCGTGGTGGCGGGCGCCTGTAGTCCCAGCTACTCGGGAGGCTGAGGCAGGAGAATGGCGTGAACCCGGGAGGCGGAGCTTGCAGTGAGCCGAGATGGTGCCACTGCACTCTAGCCTGGGCGACAGAGCGAGACTCCGTCTCAAAAAAAAAAAAAAAGTGTAACCCACATGCCGGCGACACCCATAGACCCAATGGCAAAGATGGAAAGGTGACAGTTCTCTGGACTTAAGCCTTCAAGCAAAAACTTGGGGAAAAAAAAGAAAGACAAAAACCTCTTGAGACAGTCTTATTCCTATAATATTAGCTGGTCTGGCCACCAGCTAATATTGTATTTTAAATGTAGTCATTCATTCTTTAATATAAAACCAAGGACATTGAACCATGTCTCTCTGTCTCCCAAAACAATTGTTTCCCTCAAAACAATAACTCCCTAATTCCAGAAATAGTCTAAGCACGGTAAATCATACAAATGTTAAATTTTAAAAATAAAATCAGGCCAGCCGCGGTGGCTCTCCCCTGTAATCCCAGCACTTTGAGAGGCCGAGACAGACGGATCGCTTGAGCCCAGGAGTTCAAGACCAGTCTGGGTAACATGACGAAATCTCATCTCTACAAAAAATACAGAAATTAGCCGGGCGTGGTGGCACGCGCCTGTAATCCCAGCTACTCGGGAGGCTGAGATGGGAGGATCCCTTGAGCCTGGGAGGCAGAGGTTGCAGTGAGCTGAAATCACCCCACTGCACTCCAGCCTGGTGGACTGAGCGAGACTGTCTCAAAAATAACAGACCATGCATTCCTATGCCTATCCCTTAGTCATAGTAAGTTCAATTTTCCCCAGAAGTCCCCAAAATACTCTATAAAAGGGAAGCAAATCATCTTCGGTCTGGGTGCTTTACTACTCACTCCCCTCCAGTAGGATTGAATATCATTAATTGTCCCTCTGCCCACCTCTCACCAGAATATATAACAGGGACCAATAGGGCCTATAGAAGAGGAGGTTTCTTGCCAATGTTATCGGCCATTATTACTTTTTCCCAATTCAGTCCTCAGCCACAGGGGCCTCACAGCAATTTTTGCATTTCAGGCTTCCTTTGCTGGAGCACCCCAGCAAAGAAGATTAGACATCTGAATCAGCTATGTAAGGCAAAACCTACCGCGTGCTCAGAGACTCAGCGTCCTCACTGAATGCGTCATCACGACTGGTGAATGAGTTATTTTTGTTGAATGCAAAAATTCGTGCTCTACAAAAATATGGCCTCTTTAGGGACCAGGAAATAGGAGAGTTGATATTCTCACCGACAGTATTAATGTGTTTATCCTGCCTTGCAATTCTAAGAATCTGAGACATATAAAGACAAAAGGAATCTGAAGCCAATCCATACATTTTTTTCGAATTAAACATTTTATACTGAGATGATTATAGATTAACATTCAGTTGTAAGACATAATACAAATAGGCCGGGCGCGGTGGCTCATGCCTGTAATTCCAGCACTTTGGGGAGCCAAGGCGGGGGGGATCACTTGAGGTCAGGAGTTCGAGACCAGCCTGGCCAACATGGTGAACTCCCATGTCTACTAAAAATACAAACACAAGCTGGGCATGTTGGCGGGTGCCTGTAATCCCAGCTGCTCGGGAGGCTGAGGCAGGAGAATTGTTTGAACCCGGGAGGCGAAGGCTGCAGTGAGTGATCATGCCCCTAACTGGGTAACAGAGCGAGGACTCTATCTCAAAAAAAAAAACAAAAAAAAAACAGAGAAATAATACAAGTAAGTCCTTGTATCCTTTACCTAGTTCTCCCCAATAACATCTGGCAAAACTATATTGCAGCATCACAACCAAGATATTGACATCAATAGATAATATACAGAACATGTCTATCACTGTTGCCCTTTTTTTTTTTTTTTTATAGCTGGAGTCTTGCTGTGTCGCCCAGGCTGGAGTGCAATGGCGTGAACTCAGCTCACTGCAACCTCTGCCTCCCAAGTTCAAGCAATTCTCCTGCCTTAGCCTCCAGAGTAGCTGGGATTACAGGCGCATGCCACCACGCCGGGCTAATTTTTCTATTTTAGTAGAGAGGGGGGTTTCACAATGTTGGCCAAGCTGGTCTCAAACTCCTGACCTCAGGTGATCTGCCTGCCTCAGCCTCACAAAGTGCTGGGATTACAGGCATGAGCCACCGCGCCCAGCCACTGTTGCCCTTTTATAATCACCCCAGTCTTCCTCCAGTACTCACCACTTCCTTAACCCCAGCAACCACCAATGTATTCTCCATTTCTATAATTTTGTAATTTTGAGAATGTTATATAAATGGAACCATACAATATGTAATCTTTGGGGATTGTACTTTTTCTTATTATTTATTTTTAATTTTTATTATTATTTTTAGAGATGGGGTCTCGTTCTGTTGTTGCCTGGGCTGGAGTGCAGTGGTGCAATCATAGCTCACTGTAGCCTCCAACTACTGGCCTCAAGGGATCCTCCACCTCTGCCTCCTGAGTGGTTGGGACTACAGGCACATGCCACCATGCCTGGCTAATTGTTTTATTTTTGGTAGAGACAGGATCTTGCTATATTTCCCAGGCTGGCATTGAACTCCTGGGCTCAAGCAGTCCTTCCACTTCAGCCTCCCAAAGAGCTGAGATTACAGGTGTGAGCCACCATGTGCCCGGCCTGAGGGTACTTTTTCCATCAGCATAATTCTCTGGAGATTCATCCAGGTAGTTATGTCTATGAATAGTTTGTTCCTTTTTACTTATGAGTAGTATTCCATGATATAGATATACCACAGTTTGTTTAACCATTCACCTGCTGAAGGACATCTGAGCTGTCTCCAGTTTTTTATCATTATAAATAAGCTTGCTATAAATATTTGTGTACAGGTGTTTGTGTGAGCATAAGTTTTTCATTTTGCTGGGATAAGTGCCCAGGAGTGCAATAGCTGGGTTGTATGGTAGTTGAGTGTTTAGTATATCTAAAAACTGTCAAACTGGTATTCAGAATGACTATTTCATTTCATGTTCCCACCAGCAGTGTGTAAGTGATCCAGTTTCTCTGTATCTTCACCATCATTTGTGTTGTCATTATATTTATTTTAGCCATTTGATAGGTGTGTAGTGATATCTCATTGTAGTTTTGATTTGTATTTCCCTAATGGCCAATGACATTGAATACCTTTTCATGTGATTTGCCATCTATATATCTGCTTCAGTGAAATCCTTCTTCATGTCTTTTGCCCACATTCTAATTGGATTTTCTTTTTTTACCCTTGAGTTTTGAGAGTTCTTTATATATTTGAAATATTAGTATCTTGTTAGATGTGTCATTTGCAAATCTTTCTTTCTTTTTTTTTTTTTTTGAGGCGGAGTCTCGCTCTGTCGCCCAGGCTGGAGTGCAGTGGCGCGATCTCAGCTCACTGCAAGCTCCGCCTCCCGGGTTCCCGCCTTTCTCCTGCCTCAGCCTCCCGAGTAGCTGGGACTACAGGCGCCGCCACCACGCCTGGCTAATTTTTTTGTATTTTTAGTGGAGACGGGGTTTCATTGTGTTAGCCAGGATGGTCTCGATCTCCTGACCTCGTGATCCGCCCGTCTCGGCCTCCCAAAGTGCTGGGATTACAGGCTTGAGCCACCGCGCCCGGCCTTTTTCTTTTTTTTTTTCTGAGACAGGGTCTCACTCTGTCATCCAGGTTGGAGTGCAGTGGTGCAATCACATTCACTGCAGCCTCCACCTCCAAGGTTCAAGCAACCCTCCCACCTCAACCCCCTCCCACCCCACCGAATAGCTGGTACTAAAGGCATGTGCCATCACACCCAGTTAATTTTTGTATTTTTTGTAAAAATAAGGTTTCACCATGTTGCCCAGGCTGGTCTCAAATTCCTGGGCTCAAATGATCCACCCGCCCTGGCCTCCCAAAGTAACGGGATTACGGGGGTGAGTCACCACGCTGGGCCTTGCAAATATTTTCTCACAGGCTGTAGGTTGTCTTTTTTCCTCTTTTTTTGTTTTTATTTTTTTATTTTTGAGATGGAGTTTCATTCTTGTTGCCCAGGCTGGAGTGCAATGGCACAATCTCTACTCACTGCAACCTCTGCCTCCTGGGTTCAAGTGATTCTCCTTCCTCAGCCTCCTGAGTAGCTGGCATTACAGGCATGTGCCACTATATCCAGTGGCTTTGGGAGGCATGAGATGGAGTCTCGCTCTGTCACCCCAGCTGGAGTGCAATGGCATGAGCCACCACACCGGCCTTTGTCTTTTTTCCTCTTAATAGGTGTTTTGTGGCCAGGTGTGGTGGCAATGGCATGATCTTGGGCTCAAGCAGTCTTCCTACCTTAGCCTCCCTGGTAGCTGGGACTACAGGCCCATGCCACTCCACCCAGCTATTTTATATATATATATATGTGTGTGTGTGTGTGTATGTGTATATATATATATGGGGTTTTTTTGTTTTTTTTTTTTGTTTTTTTGAGACGGTCTCGCTCTGTCACCCAGACTGAAGTGCAGTAGTGCAATCGCGGCTCATGGCAACCTCTGCCTCCCAGGTTCAAGCAATTCTCCTGGCTCAGCCTCCTGAGCAGCTCAGATTACAGGCGCCCACCACCACACCCAGCTAACTTTCATATTTTTAGCAGAGATGGGGTTTTGCCATGTTGCCCAGGCTGGTCTTGAAATCCTGGACTCAAGTGATCTCCCCACCTTGGCCTCCCAAGTGCTGGGATTACAGGTGTGAGCCACTGCCCCTGGCCCAGTTGGGCATATTTATGTGGATCTATTTCTAGGATCTCTATTTAGTTTCATCGATCTATGTCCTTCTCCCAACACCACGGAGTCCTGATAAGTGTATCAATGTAGTAAGTCTTGAAATCAGGTAGAATCCTCCCACTTTATTACTTTTTTGTTTTTAAGAGACAGCGTCTTGCCCTGTACCGAGTACAGTGGTGTGATCATAGCTACAGCCTCAACCTCCTGGGCTCAAACGATCCTCTTGCCTCAGCCTCTGCAGTAACTGGGACCACAAGTGTGTGCCACCATACCCGGCTAATTTTTATTTTTGTAGAGATGGGGTCTCAGTATGTTGCCCAGGCTGGAGTGCAGTGCCATCTCCAGGTGTTCCAAAGTGTTGGAATTACAGGCATAAGCCACCACACCTGGCCTATTCTCTCTCAAAATTGTTTTTGCTATTCTAGTTTCTTTATCTTCCCACTTAAATTTTTTATTTTTATTTATTTTTTTATTTTTTTGAGACAGAGTCACCCAGGCTGGAGTGCAGTGGGACGATTTCAGCTCATTGCAACCTCTGCCTCCTGAGTTCAAGTGATTCTTATGCCTCGACCTCCTGAGTAGCCAGGATTACAGGTGCCTGCCACCACGCCTGGCTAATTTTTGTGTTTTCAGTATTTTCGTATTTTTGCATTTTCAGTAGAGACAAGTTGGCCAGGCTGGCCTCAAGCGATCTGCCTGCCTCAGCCTCCCAAAGTGCTGGGATTACAGGCGTGAGCCACTACACCTGGCCCAACCATTTAACTTGCAGAATAATCCTGTCTGTATCTACAAACATCTTGCTGGAATTTTGATAGGAATGGGGTTAAAAGTATATATTTAATTAGGGTGAATAAATATATTTATTATGTTGAGTCTTCCAATTTATTTATTTTGATCTTCTGTGATTTATTTCATCAGCACTATGTACTTTTTAACATACCCAGCCTATACTAGTTTTATTAGATTTACATCTATTTTTTTCTTTTGGGCAGTTATTTTTAATGTATGTGTCCATGTGTTCATTGCTAGTATACAGAAAAACCATTATTTTTGTATGTTTATCTTGTACCTTGAAACTTTGCTGAACTCACTCATTAGCTCTTTTTATAGGTTGAAGCAGTATTTTGTAGTATGAGGTCGTTTTGTAGATTCTTTGATTTTTTCTTTTTTTAATGAGATAGAGTCTTGCTCTGTCACCACCCAGACTGGAGTGTAGTGGTGCTTTCAAGACTCACTGTGACTTCGACATCCGGGACTCAAGTGATCCTCCCACCTTGGCCTCCCAAAGTGCTGGGATTACAGGTGTGAGTTACCTTCTTGGAATTTTTTATGTACACAATGATGTCATATGCAATTGGGACAATTTTTTTTCTTCCTTTCTGATCTGCATGCCTTTTAATTTTTTCTGGTAGCTAAAACTTCAGGTACATTGTTAAAAAGAGTGCT